AAAATACTCTTATTATAGCGAATTGGCCAATCAAATCTCTTAAAATCTTCACTATAGCCTTATAGCGAAATTGAGGTCTAGGATATAGAGTTCATTATAACAAGAGTTGACTGTATAGTTAAAATATTTCTCTGAATCAGTCAGTCAAACTAGTTAAACAATTGTAACTTTTGTCCCATCTCTTAATCTTAATATAGAACTTTTTGTAGATGATAGGGTCCTAAAGGGATCTAGTAAGTTATTTTGTTTTACATACTGAGACAAGATAAATATTTTGCTTATGTTGCTTTTAGATTCTAATGATTGATAAGAAGTTGGTAGAATCATTTTTTGTCTAGCAGGTGAAATATAAGCTAACTCAAAATTTAGAGCACTTGGCATAGTATTTTCTGCTATAGTTACTTTAGCTTATGTATAAGCTTCATAGAGAATTGTATAAGTATCATAATCATATAATATCAATGCTAATTTATCCTTTTTTGAATATGAGGTAGATGGGGAGAAAAGCTCTAAACGAAGATGATTAATTTTAACCTCTTCTTATAATATATATTATTTATATTATCAGATCTGAAATTCCCTTCTATCAATAGATTTGAGAATTTCATTTCTTCTTACATATTCATTTGAAATAGTATTTCTGAAAATATATCTTTTTAAGTGGTTATCATGATAAAGATGGATGCTATAATTATATCTAGATATGAAAACTAAGAAGTCACATATACTACAATATATATAATTTGTTGGATGACCATAGACTTTATCATTTTCATAAAACTTATATCTATTCTTAGAAAGGATTCTTGGATTCTCTTCAAGTATTTTTCTAAATAGATTACAGATACAAGAGCACTACATTTCTGGCATTTCATGATCATATTGTTTATCTAAAAGATATAATGCTTCTAATATTCTTCTATATTCTTCAAAGTTTACATTACTATAACCTACAGAAACTAGCTTATATTAGGCTCTACTATTTAAATTCATAATATTATTTTAGTAAATTATAACAGATTATAATGATTTTATAATGTTTTAGCAATTTTAGCTGATTTAGCAATATTATACTATAATAAAATTATATTCATTTTTATTCGATTATTCGGGTAAAAACAGATTCATAATTTTTTCTCTAATATTATAATTTGGTTAAATTAAACCTGATTACTATAGACAGCTAAATTATGCACAGCTAAAGCTTAAATGTGTGTTACATGTGATTCTCCCTAGTTTTCTTCCAGTTTCTTAAAAGTTTTAGGAGAGTTCCAGGAGCTGGCTAGTTTCTATAAATCATGAGATAATTGGCCAATCATATTTCACCTCTCTTAATCTATTGATAGCTAAGCCACTATTATTATTTGATTAATCATTATATTGATCAAATTAATTTGCCTTGAAATGATCTAACATATCACTTGATATTGTTTTATAATACAGATCCTTAGAAAATCTTCTTGTTATGTAAAAAAAAATCAATTATAGAGTTCTCTGACTCCCAGCTTCGCATTCTCATTGACAAATGAAAATAAAGAAATGCCAAGTATTATGCTATTACAAATAAGAAGAAATATCTCTTTTGGGATAATATTGCTAGTAAACTAAATGAACAAGAAATACACACTATTTCACCAGCGAGGGCTGTCATAAAAAATTTCTATATCTCACAAAGGCTTTTTACATAAAGAGTACTCACCTTTTCTGATATAATATGTATTGATATTAATTCAACTAGCTGATTATTTATGAGTTCTCAACAAAGTTCTAGCTAAAACCAGATAATTGACCGAAGGTGCTAAGGTATTTTTCGAGAAGAAGGCCTTAAGCCTAAGACTTTTCACTATTTTTTTTATTTACTAGAATTACCATTTGAATAAACATACAATGAAAGTGTTAAGAGATCAAGTAAAACAAGTTCGTCATCAACATCACTATATATAGAGGCGTCTACAGATTTCTAACTAATCTTTAGACATGAAGTTTTGACAGATGAAAAATCAAGTTGTTCTTCAGTAAGGAATCATCAGCTATTGCATAATCTGGAGAAATATCTGCAGTTTTTAGGTCTGTAACACCTTTTTTTCATATGCGATTATTATTAATGTTATGATAGTGATATAACAAGACTGTTTACGAACTCTTCACATGATAGTCTTTTGCTTTTATTGTAATAGTATATACTATATATGATCAATAGAACTTCTGAATAGAAATCGCTTTCTTTTTATAGTTTCATAAGTTTTTATCAAGTGAAATGCCCAATCCTTTTAGGAAAAGATTAGATAAATAACAATTATTAATAAAAATATATGTAGTAAATAGGCTCCCATAATGACAAGTCTAGATATTATCAAAGCAGGTTTTATATTCTCCTTGTATTATATAGATAACCTATCTATATGCAGGAATTTTTTTGCATTAATCCTTTATATTTAATACAAGTATTTCTTCAATATTTGATTTCTAAAAATTTGCAATAAAAATTGACATTCCTGATATCTTTGATGGTCTGGTAATTAAACATGATAATATTAACTATTAAAGTGAATGCTATCAGTATGCATTAAGCTCATACTTGGTGGAGAATATCATTTGACTGATAGCAATTATAAAGGCAAAAAATGGCAATGACATGATCAAAGCCATCAATTATGCGAAAGAAAACAAAATTGCTGTAGTTGTGCATACAGGAGATCATCATTATAGTAGTGCGTCATCCATAAATGGAAAAAACATTCAACTCGATTTATCCCAAATATACAAGGATTTTCACTGGAATGACAAAAAGAATTTCACGTTGATGACGTTCAGTGTCAGCTTCTCATTGGAAGATTTTAATATCACATTCAAGGAAAAAGGTTAATTTGTATTATATGGTCAATGTAAGTATGTCAATTTGGGTAGACATATCTAAACTGGAGGATACAGTCAGTTAACCAAAAGTTTTGGGCTCCTCTCAGATTATGTCAAAAAATTTCGCATTATTACCGCCAATGGTCAAATGCAATAGGTTGACTCCAATAACAAGGATTTGTTTTTTGCTGTGTTAGGTGAGAGTCCTGGAAATTTTAGGGTACTTACCTATGTCATGCTTAACGTCCTCAGAGACAATAACCACCTGAATTCTCGTGATCTTAAAGTCTTATGCCTATATACTCAGAAACGTTTCATGAAATTGTTAGATATAATGGTGAAAATGGGCGATAATAAAAATTTTCCAGCTGATTACGACTATTGTATTTTAGTGATGATAGATCAGCCATATCTTACAACTTCTAAGTCAACCTACAACCAGAGATTTAATTTCAGAGAAATTGATCTAACTGATCTAATTGTTAAGCAACAAGAAGATGGGATCTTTCTAATCATCATTTTCATACAGTTAGCCAATCTAAGAAGATATCAGTAAAATTACAATCCAGATTTCATTAACAATATTCTAAATGAAACTAGCAAAAATAAAGAAGACGATTATGATAAAGAATTAGTCGAAATCATACTCAACCACCTGGATCTAACATCAATGTCTGTGTTGACAAGTGACTGGATTATTCCAATTGAACGAAAGTTTAACCTTCTGTATATCAAGTATGTATACTCATCCAATTTCAGTTTTCAGACGCTCATGAAAAATAACTAGACGTATTGGGTTTCTAATTAAATCACTATTGGATGTAGTCTAGAGTTGAATTTGTCAGCACAATTTCAGTATTTTGGTGGCGAAAACTCGCAATTTTTTTAAAATACCAACTCAAAATTTTTCAAAGACAGAAATTATCTCATGTCGTTCAGTTAGCAAGACACGTTTCTTAGCTACACGATGAATGCATTTTACTATAAACATGATTTTGTGGAATCATAGACGAAATTGAACGATTACGAAATTAAACGTTCAAATTCTAGTTTTTGTATATATGACCGTCATATTTTGTGAGGTTCCTATGATTTGAACTTGAGGACCAATTGGCAGTATTATTATGATCAAGAAGATAAGTACATATGTCTATGCAGAATCAAGAAAAATTACGATCTATCGGGCGTGTTTACTCTGAACAGATTTTGCATTGGTCTTTTAGTTTTCAAAAATATAATACAGCCTAAAATCAAGCCAGCTGGTTCGAAGACCACAAAGGAAGAAGTCGCCTCTGTTAAACTCCAACTGAGAGCGGAAGAAAATTTCAAAAAATGATGTTGATGAAAAGGAAAGCTGGCAAACCTGTTTGTCTGCGAGATATCTAGCGTACTTAAAAAGAGAGAAAAATATATTGAACATTAAATATAGTAACTTTACGGAATATAGTAATTTTCAGAATAGTAAACTAACACAATATTTTATATGGAGTTCTTAGTTTTGTGTTATATTTCTCTAACATTTTCTGAAAAAATAATAAAGTTTTGCATATATATTAGGATTAAGAAAAAATTAATTTGCATTTCAAGGCGCAATAGATTACAAAATTTATATTTGTAAATGTGTTATTATTCAAAGTAAAGATATTTATTATATTTTTTTGTAAAGTAAGAAACAATAGAGTAGCAGGATATTTCAAGAGAGGAAAGGCATGCCTACTTAATAAGCCTGCTGAGCCCTAATCCATATATTGGCAGTTTCTTTCCTGCTACTCTATACCACCATCTAAGTTATTATTAAGTTTGCTATCTACTTAATAAATTGTGTCTTAGATACAGTATTAGAGATTATCTTAAATAAAGGTATAAAATGGGAATCATACACATAATAGCGCTATTATGTATTTTTTTAAATGAAAGTATAAATCAGGAATCATTTAGTTTACTATCATGAGAGTTAATAATCAACTGAATAACACATGTATAGATTTATATTTACATTTGCAAAACGCACACATTTTAAAAATCAATCAAAACATTTTTTATTGAAAAGTAATATATGAGAAAGGACCGGCCAACTATGTAAAAAAAAATGAAACTAATAAAAGATATTGGAGTAGCAAGTTGTTTTAAGGGAGGAATTTTGCCAAACTCCAACCCATATAATGGCAATTCCTTTCTCACTACTCCGTATTATTATTAAAATTAGCTACCCATGCATTTATCTGATTAATTGTGCTAACTTTACTACCACTAACACCATTATAAAAATTTTTCACTATTGAAATCTTAATATTTCCTCTAAGACTATGAATATCAACTATTACCAAGAAGCACATTTCATCAAAAGTATAATTCCTCACCTTTATAAATCGATCAAAGTGTTGTTTAAAGTGAATTTTAATGTCTGAAGTAATATCTAAAATTCCAGATAAATTGGAACTTCCAGAAGAAGAGCTTGGAGACGAATTACTTGAAGAGCCTCGTGAATTAGTTTTAGATTCATTGATCAAATTAGCTTCAGATTCATTGGACACACTTAGTTGATCAAAATCGGATCTTTGAACTACTACGTAATGTTGATTTATTTTGTTTTAAAGATCTTTGATAACAACATTAATTCTGCTATAATAGAATAATGTAAAAAGGATAGCCACATCTAGAAATTCCACTATGCTAAGTTTAAAAAGAATATAAGATCAATATTGTGAGAAAAAAAATATTTCACCTCAAATAACTATAGAAAGATAATGTTATAAATGAAGTTTATAATATAGAGAAAGAAAATGTTAGTATAGATATAATAGTGATGCAGATAATAAAGATGATAACCTCAATATAGTAGAAATAATAACAAATGTTCTGAAACAAATCAAGAAAATAGTGATAATAATAAAGATTTTAGAAATGCTGAGATATTAGTTTATGCGAACACTTTTGCAGAAAGAATAGAATATCAACTATCTTTAAGGTGTATTAAACGTTAGATCTTACTTAGCAGAACAGATATTTCAGAAATCCCTTTGAAGAGTTTATCTGGAATTGAAGAAGAATTAAGCGTGAAATGGCATAATGACATGCAGAAGATAAAATCAAGAGTAATTTATCGTGTAATAAAGTGACAAGGGCGTGCCAATCACAAATAAAGATGAAAACATTGTCGGTGGTGGGACTTTTAGAAAGTTTTTCTATTAACTATCTTATCTATATTGGTCAAAGTTCGTTGGTACTGAATTAATAAAACTACAACTTTTGATTTCCTTTTAGTGAGATTCTATATATCAATATGAAAATTCGAGATATAAAAATATTTTATACATGTAATATCGTATTGGGCTTTTCGTATTTTAAAAAAATAAAAAATAAATCATTTTTTTATATAATAAATTGAAATGATCGTAAATTCACATAAATTCATACATTTGTTATTTTTGCAAGATTGATAAGATCGATCTCCGCAGTGCTTTTATTTCATAAATTAATAATTTTATTAGATACTTTTTTTTCTTAATTCTTTTTTTTTTTTCCTTCGTTTTGACCGGTAACATCTTGGCTTCGAAGTTTGGCCTTTGATGCTATTAAGTTTTTGTATACTCTTAAATTAAGTCAAGATGAATACTTATAAGCAGGGTTGGGAAATTTGTATGTACTAGGCAAATTTTGACCTTGTACTTGTACTGTACTGTACTAAATTTTATATTAATTATTATGTGTACTAACTGTACTAAACTGTACTAAGCTGTACTAACTGTACTAATTTCCCAACCCTGCTTATAAGATTATTTTTTTTCTTTTGACACCAATTTAACCAAATCTTTTTTTATGGTTTTAAAAAATAAATAAAATAAAATGAACGAAACAAGACACGTTTCCAAATAAATTGGATTATAAATATATCGAGCATGCAATTTTTTTTATTGTACATAATTTATCTACTTATTATTAAATTAAAAATAATTGAGAGCAAAAAAAAAAAAAAAAATTTCAAAGAATCATTAATAACGAGTCTACCAAAAGTTTTCCGGCCTGATCTGGTGTCATTTTGCATTGATTCCAAACTCTAACCATCTCTCTACATGTAGAAGGCATTTCCAAATTTGGTAACAACATACCATTGGAAATTGAACCTATCGGATTAGTCTCAAACAAAGCTTGCTTTAGAAAATATCTAACGGAAAGAATTAAATCTGATTCGGCATCTGAAAGTTTAGCATTAAACAACGGATATTGTTTCAAATTTATTTGTACATGCCACCCACCAACAATACCATTATCTAATTTATTCGCAAAGAAAGCGAGGATCACATCACCAATATTATTTTTGGTTGTTAAAGGTCCGATCATACAAGTTATATGTTCTGCAACGTGAGATTTTCCATAATCTACGGCCAACAACTTTCCGGCGCATAACGAATAACATCGATGTTCACCACTATTGATAATTAATGGAAAGAATAGTGATGATTTGGATAGAAATGCCTTTGCTAATTTGGAATGAAATATTGGGGAAAGCATAGTGGCTGTTTCGGTACATCCGTAAATTCCTGAAAAACGTAACCTCCTCGCGTCTTCCGAATTATATGTTGCAACTGTTGTGAAGTGTCCAATAGAGTTTCCTAATCCTTCAGTCCAGGTACTATTTTTGACGGTTCTAAACTTTTGTGCCAAAAAAACGGCATCTGGTAATGTTGGGTTATTCCTATCACGAGAATGGGTCCATATAGGTTTGGCAGGTTTTACGAATTCGATGTAACAATATTCAGTATCCCCTTTGGTTATTAGTTGATCGGTTTCGGGATGAAGTATTTTATGTATGACACCAATGTCCTTTTCTAGTGTTTCTATCATGATAGGTTTTGGTGGAAGAGACTGAGCAGAGAATTCAATTGTATGATGTCGGTCATAATCTTTTGGGCAATATCTGAAGACACGATTGTCTTGATTTGGAGAAACAGAAAACAAATTTTGATGAAAAGCCGCTGTCAATAAGATGGTCAGTAATGTAACATTCGGTTCCCTGCTCAGCCGAACCGGCCTGTTAGATATTTCATATGCTCTATCAAATACATTCATCCAAGGATTTAAAGATGTCCGTATATTATTTGCTACTTGATGAACTGGAATGCCTGCCTTTGCATGATATCTTGGGTTGTAAGTATGTAGTTTAGGTGGTTGTTGACTTATATTGTCAATTTCTATCCCATTAGGTAATTCACTTGACGCTGCATTATCTAAAATTCGAATTGCTTGGTCAATATCATTAATCGGGTCGCCTTCAGAACTTTCCTCAGATCCTCCATCTATATCAAAATCATCATCTATCGTATCATCAGTTATAATGACATTTAAACGGTTTCTGCGTATCTTATCTCTTTCGTCCTTGGTTGGTGGCGGACAAATGCCTTGATAAGCTAATGATTCTCGAATTGATATTACCAAGTCTTGTATCTCCCGTATCCAATATAAACTAATAAATTGTTTCTGACACCATGATAGTTCTCTAGACAAATCAAACCTATTGTCATATTGCGTCTTTTCCTCCCAGTATAAATAACCACGTAGATGAGATATTAAATCCGAACCACCCTGTAAAGGATAATCCTCTGGTAAATTTAGAGAAAATCGTTTCATAGCCGCGCTAATCTGTATCTCTTGATGTGGTGGTTGAACAATTACACCTCGATTTTGTAATATCGCTACATTGAAATGATTAAACATTCAATTTAAAAAAATCTCGCTTTGTTTAATTCCAAGTCGAATTGAGAAATACTTACCAGCAATTATTATAGTATCATACAGTGAACCGAAAATTGCCCCATAAACTACTAATAATCCCGAATGAAGATCCAAAGGTAATTGTGCAAGCACTGTACCAAGTCGAGTTACTTCATACTCGTATGAAACAATACTTCCTTGAACCCAATCATCTTCTTCCTTGGCAATTTCCTTAGATACGACAGCTCCGGTAATTTCCAAATCTTCTAATGCATAGTCAACAGCGTTATCGTCCGGAGGATCGATACAGTGTGATAATAATTCGCGTGGATCCCCGAGGTTTGCATAAATGGATCTCAAAAGCAAAGAATTGAGAGGTGTTCTCTTTATTACTGGTTTCCTTTCGTTTCTTAAATTATCATAAAATTGTTTCGGCACGAACCGATAAATCTATAAAGAAATAGGAATATATTCTTAGCAAATGATATTATATTGTTTAGAGATCTAGCATAATGACGTACTACGCCTGGGCCTAGTCTCCCGGCTCTACCCCTTCGTTGTTCAGCACAATCTTTACTTATCCATTGTTCATTCAAACTATAGCACCGTGTTGCCTTGTCGTAATCTACATCTTTACGCAAACAGGTATCGAATATTTTTTTCACATCTGGTACCGTAATCGAACTCTCTGCAACATTAGTTGCCAAAACAATCTAATTATAAGTAATAATAAGTAAATCGATCATCTACAACAGTTGGAAATAAATGATGATTTTTTTTAAAAAAAAACCCCCTACTTTTCTGTAACCACTTAAAGGTCGCTGCATGACCATGCATTGTTCATCGATAGTAACGGTGGAATGTAGTTTAATGATTGTGATATTTGGCAAAAAAGGGTTTGACATCCTAAATCATTATCAAAATTTTTTTTCAAATTGATAGATCCTCGTTTATATAAAGATAGAATCCATGAAATAATAAATACCGTTGCTGCTCATCAAGGAAAGTTAGTTGATCCTCCTAATATGAATAATAGATTCCTTACATGAGAATAATTTCATATTATGTGAAAAAAAAAGATATTTAAATATTACAAAGCATCCTACCACTTCAGCGATTATGGAAATTCCCGGTAAAAAAACAAGAAAAGCATCATCAACTGGTGAATCAACGTGACATCGGAATATCCAACTTATAAAAAGGTCACGACGTTCTTGCATCATAGATGGTTTTTTAGGTTCGCTCAATATGGCTTTCTGTTGCGATTCAGGTATTCCTAACGTCTGGCAAACATCTTCCAGGTAAAAAGCGTCAACCGGAAAATTCTTAACAGGAATGTCAATCCAAGGAATTTGCGACAAACCATCACGCTTAACTTCGAATTCATGAAAATACTTTGTGAATTTTTGCACATTCATGGTAGCCTAATGGAAAAAATATAATCAAGATGGTATGTAAAATTTGACTAGATTACTAACATAAATAACTCGAATTTTTTTATACTCACAGACATAATAATCAGCTTTAATGATGGATTTTCTCTTAATATAACACAAAGATGTGCCAACATTAAATCATCATCAACATTACGCTCATGAATCTTTTAAAAATGGTTTTAACTTTGTTACATACAGAAGGTCAATTAACATAAGATGATATGATTATTGTAAAAGTACCTCGTCCATAATGATATGAGTGTACGAATTTAAATATCGATCCGCTTTTAACATTTCCAATAGAATTCCTGTTGTGACATAACGCAATCTGGTAGATGTAGTATAACCTCCTTTGCCTCCAATATGATATCCGACTTGAACATGCAGTGGCGTTCCACGCTCAGACGCAACGCGATGTGCAAGGGAGGTTGCTGCTATGCGACGCTAAGAAAAAATTACATCACGTTTCAATCCATTACAAAATTGATTTATTGTAATAATAGATAAAAAAAAAATTATTTGATTACCGGTTGTGTACAGATGATATTTACTGGAACACAATTTTGTAAACAATAATCTAATATGTATTGTGGAACTTGTGTTGACTTGGAGCAATTATAATATAAAGTTAGAAGGGCCTTTAAAGAAGTAAATATAAATATAAATAGATCATTAAATTAATTAAGTACCTTTCCACAACCTGTACTTCCACTTAATACAACTACCCTGTTGTCTCGGATAGTATGAATAATATCATCTTTTCGTGATTCAATCGGAAGTTTTGATCGTTTTATTTCTGGAATCCAAGCAGATCCATCATTGATTTGAGATACTGGAGGCGCAAATTCCTTAGTTGAAGGTTTATACTTTTTGATCTTTAGCATTTGAACTGCGAGTTTATGAGAAGTATTTAATGGGCATGGTTGTGTGTTTAAATATTCTTTATCAGAGTGTATAGAAGTTGCGTCATCTTTTGACTTTCTAAGCATGGTAATCTCGCTTTGCTTGCGCTTCAACTCTTCGAGGAAAATTAATGGTTGTTCATCGTCAGAAAACTCGTCAGAATCCAACGATGACGATGAACTGGAACAATCCACCTGCGTAATGGGGTTATAGTACGAAGTTGAAACTATTGAATTATGAAGTTTAGCTGTATTACGAATTGACTCTTTATTATCGATATTCTGTCCTTTAAAAAAATTGCTTTCTTCTGCATCACGATAAGCATGGCTACTTGACTCTTTGGTTATAGCGCTTGAAGATTCTTTATTAGCTGGACTAATATACCATTCTGAATCATTTTCAGCCATAATTTTCAATACGGAGAATTTAATATCCTCGCCTTAAAACGCGTGTATTGTTGTTTATTGAACATCAATAAATAATACGCCTCAAATTGGAAACATGTTCTAATTTGTGATTGGCCCCACAAATTCACCAAATACGATAATCAGTTAATGACAAATCAATGGTATTTAATTAGTAAACTTGGGAAGGAAATACAACATGACAAATCAATCTTATTTGTAAAATGAAAAGAGGAAAAAAAAAAAGAGATTAACTCACGTGATTGATTAATATTAATATGTCTCGAGAATTTTTTTTTTTTTTACTATTAGTGACAAATTTTTGATCTTTCTTAAATACCGTGATTTTCCATTATATTATTTAACAAACTAATGGGATATCATAATACAGAAGAGGCACAACTAATAGGCGTTTCCTCTTATAATGTTCCTTTGAAAACAGATGCAACATATAAACCACCATTAACGAACGGCGTCGCAACTCTCATAAAACGTTCTTCCATTAAAAAAAATTTTACGAACGGACTAACAAATAATTTTAGACATTCACTTCGAGCGTCTGATGTTATTAACACACCCCCAACCACACCACCTTCTTCTAATTTAATAAATAAAAAAAACACAGTTAAAATAGAATGTCAAGTTCGAGCACGCATTCCGACATCTACAGGAGAATTTTTTCTTCACCTTTACAGAAGTGAACTTGATAATAAAGAACACTTAGCAATTGTATATGGCGATGATATTCGAAGTAATAGTTTAGATGCTTCTAGACCGGGAGAAAGTGAAATGGATAGAATCATAAGGGGGGCGTATAAGGGTAGATTAAAGCCTGGTCAAAGGTCAGTTGAAACTAGCAACGCTGATCCCAAGGTTTCTACGGTACAATTTCCGCCGCCGTTAGTTAGGATTCATTCCGAATGCTTCACAGGAGAAACCATTCATAGTGTAAGATGTGATTGCGGAGAACAATTAGATGAAGCCATGCGGCTAATAAAGCTGGAAGGACGTGGGGTTATTATATACTTGAGACAGGAAGGCAGAGGAATTGGTCTTGCGGATAAATTGAGGTGAATATTAATTCCATGGAAAGCTTACAGCCATATAACCGAGACATTTGTATTTTTCATGTATCGTAAATTTTTAATATTTTCTCCTAAAATTTTTTTTTTTTTTCCCTTCTTAGAGCATATAATTTACAGGATATAGGATACGATACTATAAAGGCTAACCACGTTCTCAAGCATCCTGCCGATCTTCGTAATTATGATATTGCAACACAAATTTTTGAAGATCTTAATTTATCCAACGTTCGATTGTTAACGAACAATCCTGACAAAATTGAACAGGTTGAAAATGCGGGAATTAAAGTTATTGAGCGCATTCCGATGGTTCCCATTGCATGGCAAAGTCCCGATCCAAATCACATTGGAAAAGAAATGGATCAATATTTAAAGGTGAAGGTAGAACAAATGAGACATTTATTAAATATACCGGAAGCATTATTACGCTGACAATATTTGGTTACTTTCGGATTTATAGAGCTAATTTGTTTATTAGAAACAACTATTTATAATGATTTTTTGCTTCAGAATTATTAATGTATTTTTAAATATTTAGTTGGTAGAGGGTGATAAAAAAAAACCAACAAAAAAACAGATGCCACAAGAAATCACCTAAATAGATTTTTAATATTTTTTTCAAAATAATATAATGATAATTTGCCTTTTAATGATTTTAAATTTTTATTATTATTGAAAAAAACAAAAAAAATGCTATATTAATTTATGTTATATACACAGATAATTAAGTAAAAAAAAAAAAATTCCTTCTCTATTAAAAATTAAAACTCTAACTCTTTTTATCCGAAGAAAAAATTGTTTTAACGTCTAGAAATATCAGTAATAGGAGCTGCTCTAATCTCGGAAAGGTCTATGGACGCGTCTCGTTCTTGATCCAACTCACCAATTAAACATCTATTTTTCATAATTTAAACCATAGTTAGTAAAAGACGCGTTTAAATTGAACGTTCATAATAGATTGATATATTACATGTTGTCTCCTCGTATTATATATAATCCAAGGGCAACTCTTTCGACTCCTTCATTCTCTGAAAAAATACGTTCGTGACATCCAGCCAGAATCACATTTGTGGTTTGATCAAACCCTTTTAATGTTCCCTTTATCAAATAAATGATTTTCTTTTTTCTTTAAAAAAAAAAGGAAAAAAACAAAAATAATAATTTAAAAGATTAACCAAAACTATACATATATAAATACATACCACTATGACTCGTCCATCGGAAGTGATTATTTCAACCGTTACTAATAAAATTTTACGAAATTTTTAATAATAAATAAACAGAAATGTATAAAATAAAATTTTTTTTTTTTAAAAAAAAAAATAAACATACAATCAACATATTTCTGCAAATCGGTCATTTTTTGCAACTTCTTTATCTTTATAATACAAATATACCAAACTTAACAACGCGTTTTAACGACTATGTTAATTTTACTTATTAGTTTGTAAAATCTAATCTATTGAAACTTGAAAATAATCTATTTGAATTTAACGTTCATGAGATATTGAGATATGGCTTGATGCAACAAAAAAAAATTAGGAAATAACTATGGGAGTGTAACAGTCGGATCAGATGAAATGTCCGTATGCCGTTCTCCTCCCTTTTGTATCACATCGTATCACAACCCTCAAGTTTCTGTTTTTACTATTTACTACTATTTTAATAATTAATTTCCTCTTTACGGAAATTAAGTTGTATTCAGAGGACAGTTTTTTTTTGAGTGGTGAAATCTTGTTTGTCACATATATCTATTTGTCACGGTTAGAGTTAGGGGGTTTAGTTTAGCATATTATTAGGGGGAGGATACTGGTATCCCCCGGTATGAAATAAAAATATTCTTTTTTATATTATTAATTAAATTGTGTGATATATTTATTGTATGTAATTTTTATAAGGATTTTTTTATATTAATTAAATTTAGTATTATATATTTATTTAAATGTATTTTTTTGTATCAATTTTTTTACAACTTTTTAAAAATTTTAAAAATGAATATGAAGGATTAGAAAATTATTGAGAATTTGTTTTAGAATTATTTTTAATCTTTTTTATTCTGTAATGACATCTTGATCAAATATAAGGCTAAATGATTAAGATGTGATAAATTGATATTTGCTAAAGTCTGATCAGATGAAAATATGTTTTCATCTATAGTAAGAAAAACTTTAAGTAGAGTTAAACCTTGAGTTTTATGAATGGTAAAAGCAAAAGAATTTTGTAAGAAAAATTGAATACAGTGAAAATTAGTTTTATTTAATTAAAAATAATAGGTTTACTTATTAATAATAATGTCAATTATTAATCCTTTAATAGGAAATGCAACTAAAACAGATTTTTCTATAAGATTTACATCAGTAATTATTCCTATATACTGGTCAATGTAGTTCAAATCAGCTAGAAATTAGATACTAAATTTAGGCTAATTTTTGTTATTATTTATAACTGATTAATCATATTTTCTGATTGTTTAAATTATCACTAATTAACTCAAATTAGATAAAGCTATTCAGTATTAATTCAGAATTTAAATTTAGAGTTCTAAATGAATTAGATAAGGTAGAGTATTCTACCTTATCTAACCAAAGTATCAGTCAGATTAGGTCATAGGTCAGGTTATAGGTTACATTAAAAAAATTAAAAACAGTTTTTTTAAGATATCTTAGTATCTAATAATAAAAAATGAACATAATATAGCTTATTAAATTTATTTCTATGTAACTAATTGAATAGTAGCTAATAATTCTCATATAAATTAATATTAACAAAATTATACTTTATTTTGTATTTATATAAATCTATAATATGTGTTCAAAAATTTTATATAGTAAAATTAACTAAGCTATATCTCAATAATTAATGATTTATATAAATCAAATAAAGCTTCTTCGATTTATTTTTATTTAAGAATTTGAATGGTAGTTATTTCATCTCAAATGGATCAATATTGATAAAATTATTAAATTTTAAATTTTTAATTAAAAAATTCAGGTTATATCAAATATGATATTGTAACTGGGTGATGATCTTAACAATCATAGATCTACAAATGTGTGATGAAATACAAAATATCGATAATGTCAAACATAGCAAACATGTTTAACATGTTTGATATAGTTAATATGTCTAACATATTAGATATGTTTAATATAGTTAATATAGTAGAT